GGAATCGGCTGCCTGTCAATGGGGTTTAGTGGATTTTCCAGACTGTGACCTTCGCACGCCTTCTACCATTGTCCCCGGGTCCGCTCCTTATAGGACCATGTCGGCGAGTTAACGGCTCGTCTCGATCCCGAACAGCTCGTGCTCATTGATCGCGCATACGCATGTGACAATGTGTCGCCCCCGTGTTCTGAGGTGAAACGAATGGTGTTTCTGATGCTGGTGGCCACGGCTCGAATGGTGATTTGGATGACGCGACAGGAGGAAGTCTTGCGAGGCAATCGTCTTTCTCATCAGGATCTAATCCGATTCTTTGAGCATTAAGTCAAGATGATGATTAGAATTGATAGAAAACGCTTGCATTCGACAGTCTTTAGCGAAAGGTGGGTGACTGAGACGAGCTTGGTTCGTTTGAACGGGGCTAGTCTTGATTTTCTCTTTTAGGTCTACCTACGTCACATCGGGTGGTTTCCTATGGAGCCCTCCCCCTGGTTAGGTTAGACAAGCCTTTGTATACCTAGTTAATGTGAGTAAGTGCTGTTCCTGGCCTGCTCCCGGCTGCATCTTTGGTTATGATCCAAGATGAGATTCCCAACCTCCCCAGTTTGTTTTGACCCTTTTTTTTTTTATCTCGACTGGGTCAGCTTTTTCTTTCCCAAGTCCGTATATATTTTCTCCTTTTCCCACTCCCTTGGTGAGAGAGTCTCTTGATTTTGTCCAATGGGTAGAATACAGCAGCCTCTCGCCTTCTTGAGGGTTGGACGGGCCCTACTAAAATGTTATGTTTAGTTCACTTTGTGGTCATGTTTAGTTTGTTACTGGGTTCATCTCCCTTCCCTCTCATTTTTCATCTTTAGAATTGTATATATAGTCTATTATCATTAAATTTATGGCATGGGGGCATAGGTAGGGTTTTGTAGGATCCCCTTGAGAGGATGTGATATTATGGAGGATTGATTGGTGACGGACGAGTTTTTATGGTGAATGGTCAAATTGTAATGAGTGAATAGGTCGTGAATCGGATTGGCTAGGTATAAGATAGTTAGTGAAGACCAGCCTCAACACCTCCCCTTTTGGGGCCTTGTGCCATAATTGTATTTTTATTCAATAAATATCCATTATTTATTGAGGTTGGTTTTGGTATATGAGTATTGCTTCAATGCTCATAAACATAAATCTGTTTTTACTATTTGATTTTGCTATTTTGGTATTATTATATATATATATATATATATATATATATATATATATATATATATATATATATATATATATATATATATATGTCCAAATGTAAAAGAACGAAAAGAATATAAATTCAAACGTTCATAACACTAATTTAAAAAAGTGCTCAGTACAAGAGTTGAGCAATAAATATTATAAACTGTTACATTGGAACATACAAGTTACAGCGATAAAAATGCATATTTGTTATGACATCCAAAGACGTCTTGTCAAGCGGGTAACAATAATGGTAATAAACGATATTACCATCATTGTTAGCCGCCTGACGAGACGTCTTTAGACGTCGATACAAATATGCATTTTTGTCGCAGTAACTTGCATGTTCCAACGTAACAGTTTATAATATATATATATATATATATATAATGTGTGTGTGTGTGTGTGTGTGTGAGGGGACGCATTTATATTTAAAAATTTCTTGGCCTAATGAAGAAAACAAATTAGTTTTAGACAAAAAAATGATCTGCTTCCTTGTTATTGATGATTACATTAACATGGCCGATTTTCAGCATCACAATACATTCAGATCCCTAAATCCCCATGAACTGTGCCAATGTGAATGTGAAAACTTGTATGACAGTCCTGGATGGCACCAGATACTATATTTGAACGCATATCAAATACTTACAACATCTTTTAAAAATGAATTGATTTTTTCTACTTGATATTTTCCCTTTTTTGCTCGGCTCTGTATATTAATACCCTCAATGTTTTGTTGTTGTTTTTTGGGGGGGTTTTATCATTTCACCCCAAGCAAGATAATAAAGCCACCAAGACACAAGAGGGTTACTGAGTGAGAAAGAATATAAAAAAAAAAAGAAAATCATTGTTAAAGATCGAGAACAATAAATGAACAGGAATTAAGAATACAGAATATAACGATATACGTTGCATTTAAATTTTTAAAGATCAAAATTAACTGCAAAGCAAGAAGCCGAAAAAGAGCTCCACAAGCGAGAAGTGCGAGAAAAGATACTATTAGCATAGAACTTACGGTTACATCTGGTAATTTCAACTGTAAAAAGATCAGATCTTGTTACCAATCTAGTATTGCGCTTAAATTCGTAGATTCTAGATAGCATAGAGGAAAGCTCATCAGAACAACTACTATGAAAGCATTTATAGAAAAGGCACAGGGAAGTTGCCTTACAGCAGTGGGAAAATGCAAAGATGCAAGGTCAGGACAAATAACATTGCAGATTCTTCTCGGATTTTATCAAGGATCAGTTAAATTAAAATGACATCCTGCTTAGCATATGCTGAAATATATCTTTTAATATGTGATAATGCACCTTTTCAATCTGCCCGGTTTTTGTCATTATAATCTTTTATAAATACAATTAACATTTCAAATGAAGCGAACACTATAAGACACAATGTCATCCTTCCACAAAGACGAAGATAATCCCTAGTTTGTTAGTCAAAAGATAATCCCTAGTTTGTTAGTCAAAGAAAGTATTACACGACATATAGTGTCCTAAAAGAAAGCATTAAATGTTTTGTCTTAAGATACTCTTGCTTCAATACAATCCGACAACTCTAAAGCTTCTTTTATTAATAGAATGACTAGATGGTCCCATTTTTTCAGCAGATGTGGGGAAACTAAAATTCTAACAGATTCTGATCCAATGGTCTCAACATTCTTAGTTAGTTTTTTGCTGTTATTTTCTTTTCTTTTCTTTTTTCTTTTCTTTTCTTTTTTGTTTAGTTTTTATTTGTTTTGTTTTTCACACAATTTATGAAACAGATAGTTTTAACACATTAATAATGACTTTGGTTTCACAACTAACACATGGTAGTGAAAGTTTCTTAAGACATTCAACGACGAAGTTCATTACTTAACGTCCCTCTTTTTGAAATGTGCGCCTTGTCTTCATTTTTCTTTTATATACTGCTGTGACTAACACCTGCTTTAATGGTACTGTTTACTCTCTGAGAAATTCTTCTTGTCCTTCCATCATCATCGAAATATATTGCGCTGAAGATGTTAAAGACCAAGTATCACGATTATCTTAAAAAACACCATGTTCTTCATAATTTATTTTAAAATACGCTCATCCTCGGCATAAAAATTTGTACACACATGCGCTTGTAAAATAAATAAAAATCCAGAGTCAATACATTGATATTTTTTGGCTTCAAATTTGGCCAAACAAAATTGTTCTGATATAAAATTTACTTCTGAAAACTTAATTTTTTCAAATATTCATCAGTCCAGATAGTTTCAGCAAAGGTTGCAGTAAAACCAAACGTTTGGGGCGCCTAGTGAAGTTCGAATTCGCTATTGCCGAGAGCGAAGTAACCCGTTTTCAAAAATCTGTCGATGACTATTGTTACGAACTTTTGTATGAAAAAGCATGTAACAAAGTTGAACATATTGAATTTATTATTAAAATGAAATCTTTATTATTACTAGTAGTAGTAGTAACGGTAGTAGTATTAGTACAATACCCCGATACACATTACCAATTATATTGGTATTAAGGCCGTTATGTTTTATAGCAGTTGTCAATCATGAGAGACTTGAGGGGTTCTCAAACAGGGGGAGATTTTAAGGTTTCACAGGGAAAAATCTTTTACTTTTTCTTGTTTTTTAGGTGCAAAATTTGGAACCCATGGATTTAAATAACCTGGCATTCTATTGTACTTTTTGTTTATGGAAGTATGCTTCAGTTTCTTTATTTAATAATTAGTTATGAATTAAAGTAAATAACTGCACATGTAATCAACTTTAAAAATCCATCAACATTTTCTATTGCTATTACATTTATAAAACTCATCTATAAAAATGATCCATGTAAATGTACTAATATGGAAAAGAATGACGATTTTCAATAATATATGCCTATTATTTGGAATGCACCTTTTGAGTCGGACAATCCTGGAAAGTGGGGGGGTTATATTCTGATTTATGGTGAAAAGGATGTGTTGGACAAAAAAGGTTGAGAAGCACTGTTTTATAGAATGTCATGACAGGAATAATTCTACGTCCGTTTGTTAATCAGTATTTTATTTTTTATTTGTTTTAACGAAGTTCCACAACTAACATTATAATTTGACTTCCCATAACTTTCAACGTTATTTACTATTCACAACAGGCAACAAATTTGTAGAAGGAAAGTATTATAACATACTCTTAAAATTTGTAGGGATAGCGTTTTGTCCGCCATTTCTCTGGAATTTGAAATTTATCCATAAACGATTGCTTGATACTCAGATAGACGTTGTTATATTCAGATGTAAGCAAATGAACTATGAATGTAATAATGTGAATGTCGTTAGTAGATGAAAGTTGTTATTGTCTCAAGCAGCTTGAAGTGAACTTCAGAAGTATAGAAAAGATTTACAGAAACCTGATTCACAACCCGATACAAAACATTGTCGAAAGAAATACAACGAAGGAATAATGAATATAACAAAAAAAATGTTTGATGAAAAGGGAAGAGATCATCGAGCGGGTTGTGCATATCTAGTAACCCATTAGTGTCGTAATGGTACCACATGTACTGCAGGCGTACCAGAAGTGATATGTCTAGGGCAAGATAGCCTGTTCTTCTTCAAACTGTCTTTGAATTCAGCTTTTTTTCTCCTGAAGAGGCAGAGGAGCCCACACGGCCATGTCATTTAATTCATAGCTGGTGGAGAAGAAATGGCTTCGTAGTTTTCCCAAGTGTATTTGTGCGAAAGTGAACGCAACGAACTCGAACAGAATTCGAACTCAGATTTTCGAGTTCCCTTTTCAAATTGCTAACCATTACACTACACGCATATCCAAGAGTAAGACTCTAAAAAGAACAAAATAAGAATTATGAAAAATAAGAAAAATAAATGCGAAAGAAAGAAAGAAAGAAAGAAAGAAAGAAAGAAAGAAAGAAAGAAAGAAAATCGCCCTTTTCAACTGAATTTATTGTACACAATGACAAAATATGTGTCTGTTTAAAATTTCGGGCGACGGGATGATGGCCGCTTTTGACAAGAGCTTCGTTTTCATATAGGCGTCAAGTGACGAGAATGGCGCTTCAGACCGGTTAGGACTGCAGGGAAGCAAAGGTAAAGGAAATAGTGACCGCAGCCGAACAACGAAACAATGCAAAAGGAAGTTTCTGTTTTCGACTCACTTGTTCGACTCGCTGTCATACAAGGGTTGCTCTCTGCGAAGAGCACACATACAATTAATGTGCTGACAAGAGCTGCATCGTCTAGCATAGGTCAAGTGCCCGCTTCAGCCCACTGGAAACTGATCTTTTGAGGTTGACTTCGTCATCGCCAGCAGGTTGTTACCCTCTAGAGAAAGGTCAGTTGGCCCAGTGTGTTGCAAGGCGTTGCGGTCTGAAATTAAAAAGAATTTTGTTCGAGGTATTGACACTCTTCATTACTCTTGTTTTTCTTGACCTCACTATCAAGTGCGAGCATGCGTGTGTGCATTCAGCTGAAGATTTTTTTTTCGTCGTGGGTGAATGCAAATAAGCATGTATGACTGCGTCTGTACATATGTGTAAGTATACTAAAGTGCTTTAATGTAAATCTATATCTCATTAATGGAATGTAATAGTAACTGAGAAGAACTTTTGTAACATTATGTGTATATATATGTGTGTGTGTGTGTGTGTGTGTGTGTGTAAAGAGAGAGATAAGGGTGCGTTCGTCTGTGCATGTTATTATATATACGAAGAGCTGTTGCAAAATTTCTCAACCCAACGCTTCCCAAAATATGACAAAATGGACAAAAATAAGACGTTTTTAGAGGAATTCTTGGTTGAGCCGAGAACTTTTCACTTCTATCTCTGATATTAAACTATTGACTTTTAAATATACCAAATATGAACAATATATATATATATATATATATATATATATATATATATATATATATATATATACTACTACTACTACTATTACTACTACTACTTAATCGGAGAATTTGAACATGAAATATAAATTAAGATCTAGTTTTTACTGTCTCCTCTGAAGTAGTCTCCTTGTCTTCTGTTTGAAAACCGACTACATGTACTGCTCATAAAGGTAGCGGCAAATTTACGTACTACATTCGGCACACACACGCCGTTCATATTACCCAACCATTTGGGTAACATCTTATGAGGGTAGGTATGTGTGGTTGAGAGAGAGCATGGTCGTTTGTTTTTGCTTGAGTATATATGAATTCTTGAAAGTCGACATTTACACAAGATTCCAAACTTTTCTGCTTATACAGAATCCCGGAGACGTTGATCGACCTAAGCGACTGTCTGCATCCATCTAAGCTGTCAGGTGGCTTCTCGTAAATAGATATAAATTGACAATGTGTCACTTAGCCATATTCCTTCTACTCCCAGTGTGAAATATACTCACCATCAATAGCTTACATTGCTTTACTTTTAGGCTTTCTTTTGAAAATATTTGACATGTGGAACATTCTCGCTAGTTGAGGTTGTTGAATTTTCTTCATCGAAATGTTCAAGTTTAGTTTCAAATCTGGATTTTGAATACAAATTTTTGAGGTAATCTCCATTTGGAAGATTCTAGAAATATAATCTCTCGACTGCTATTAGCATTTCCCCAGATTAACCTAATCTCTCTATTAAATATAATACATTAGCACATATTTACTTGTGCGCGTGCCTCTCACTTAACTTGTTGAATGAAGACAAACATTATTAATCAAAGAAACGGATATATCAATGTTCTGAATTCAGGATTGGATATTAATCACTCGTAGATCGGACATTATGCAATGAACATTTCAGGTCACAATTCACCTAATAACTATGCACCAGCATAACGAACTTATCCATCTACCCTCATAGATAGATAGATAGATAGATAGATAGATAGATAGATAGATAGAGATAGATTGTAAACATCGGAATCAAAACTGCATGATGACTGTCAGTTTCATGTTTCAAAGCAATATTTTAGACCACTTTAACAGATTAACATAGGAAAGGTGGGCTTACGGCCGCATCACATTCAAACACCGGTTACTGAACGATCATCAAAGTTAAGCAACGTCAAGTCTGGTCAGTACCTAGATGGGAAGCTGCTTGGGAATACCAGGTGCTTAAGCTTAGATGTGCGATGTAATGGATAATGGCTCGGAATTGTTAATCGGAGGGCCGAGTTCCAATTCCTGTCGGATTCTTTATTATTCATTTACTCACAAATACTCTTGGTAAAGTCATGAATCCACTTCTCCCTCCAGCTATGGGTTAATTAATAACACGTGTATCCTTAAATCATTATCTCCACAAATCAATTCTTACAATCTAAAAATATTTTCTGACTTTAAATAACCTAATTGACAAGCTCTAGAAAATGAATCAGTCAATCAATAAGAAAGCTATAACCAAAATAGAAGTATAAAAGTCTGCTATGGCTGACCCTAACTAGAGGGACAAGAATAAACATAACTCCGACTGGGATGAGGTGGTTATAATTGGAATGGATCATTGTTGAGGAGTGCAGAAGTTGAAGAAGGCAGTATACTTGATCTAAAGATAGCATTGATGCATGAAACCATGCAGTGTTTATTCCTATATCCACACTGTTTATATGTAGAAACGCTCTGATACTGAAACCATTCCCGTAGAAGTAGAGATATTTTAACAATATGGAAGTTGCGATGGGTAAATTTTCGTCATTTTATATTTTTAATTTCGCGCATGCGTTTGTTTATTTTTTTTATTTTATACGATCAGTTGGGCACCGTATGAGAGAAGTAGTGCCGCCCTGAGTCAATAAAGTGGCTGCTGGATGATTCTACGTCTGGCAATAGGACTCTGCACCATTCTATACAAGCAGGAGAACAAAGTCATGTCTGTCAGACAATTTCTGAGACCACATCACTCCTTACATCTGGCCATCTAACTCCCCAAACTGCACCTCCACTTGATTATTATGTGTGGGCACAGTTGAGCAAGAGACCAACAAAACTCCTTGTAACACCAAAGATGAACTGAAGGCAAGGATTATGATAGCATTCACCAACTTAAACAAGGAGACCCTCCAGAAGAGCTGCAAGAGATTCCGAAGTCGTCTTGAGGCTGTGTTTGATTCCAATGGCGATTTTATTGAATAAATTTACTCTTTAGTATTTCAAGATATTTTTTTGTAATTTTGGTAAATACATCGGTTAAAATAAGGTTTCAGTATTATTTTTAATTTTGCATAATTTAGACGACAAATTTTTTGCATATTTTTAAATGGACCGAGTGGTTAGAACGTTTGCTTTCCGACCATAAGAACCTGGTTCGAATCCCACTATGGTCGATAAGGAAACTTGATATTATTGGTCTGGAGTGGCGATCCCAAGGAAAGTGCCTGACGAACCTTACCACGATTTGAGTCAAGCCTTGAGAGTGAAAATCAGCTCGGCAGGATTGTTTGTCAATGGTTGCACGAAGGCACAAGTTATCGTGACAGGTGTTTTGAGCGTACTTGACCTTGTTCAAACTGTTGATTATGCCAGAAACTTTAAATAAGGTCCGCTCAGCAATGTCTTCATTGCAACATAAACCACAGGTGGATTTTGTGAGGGTTGAACAGGCATCTGCAACAGGCGTACTCACTGAGATATGAGCAACTAGCCATTATATATTTCAACAATATACATGTGTGTGTGTGTGTGTGTGTGTGTGTGTGTGTGTGTGTGTGTGTGTGAAATGGGATCAAATATGGATTGGAATCCGACAAAATGATAGAATAGAGAACAAATACGAAACGTTTATCAATCTAACATGATTCGCTTTTATTAAAGCTTAATCCGAGAATGACATATGAAGAAAAAAAAGAATTCGGGACGCCATAAATTATAGGTGAAGCCTGATTAACCAATGTAAATCAAACAACACAAAAATAAAAAATACCAGGAAGTTTTTCTACTTTTTTCTTCATATATCATTCTCAGATGAAGCTTTAATAAAAGTGAAACATGATAAATTAATAAATGTTTCCTATTTGTTCGTTATTCAATATATATATATATATATATATATATATATATATCCAAGTGAAAGAAAATACAGAGTTCAAATTTTATTGATTTCTTTTGCTATATTTGAATGAAGTCATTTTACGTTTTCCTAAAAAGCAATATCCTATAAAGAAATTATTGCTTTTTTTTGCGTTTTTTTTTTTTCAATGTGTGAGTTTTTTTTTTTTATTTTTATTGTTAATCATTTTTAATTATTTTACCTTCGTTGTGTTTTTCTTTTAGTTTTGTTTATTTTTTTATACTCCATTCTTCCTGCATATATATTTACTCACCATGCGTATATATATATATATATATATATATATATATATATATATATATATATATATATGGGGTTTTTCGTGTTTTTGTTTCATTTTGTTGAGGATTGTTTCGTAATTTTATTAATTTCTCGTTTGAATTGGGGGTTTTTTTTTCACTACCGCTGTTTGATGAGATTTTCCTTTCATTTTTTGTTTCTTCAAGATCACTGGTTCTTTTTATCAAAAACAGTGTAAAGACATTGACATGATCTCTAAAGTTCATTCGTTATTCTTTAACTAAACATGATAATTATTTCTTGAACAGTCTGCTTTTTTTTTCTTTTTTGTTTGTTAAGAGAGTTGTAAGAAAAAGAAAAACCAAAACATACAATGAAATAAACAAAACAAACAGGACTAGAAACAAAACAAAAAAAAAGCTACCACGTCAAGTTAGATTCAAAGCCGTTTACCAATTACCTCCCCTTTTAGCAAAAGTGCGCCAAAATAGTTGAAAAGAGAATTGAAGTTCCATGTGACTGAATTATCCCATTTGTTCATTTTCTGACTAATCTCTGGGTTGTCACGAAGCTACACCACTGAACCTTGCAAGTCTACAAGGACTGGTGGATCACCATGGCGAGTTCTCCCAATTAAGGGAAAAAAGACTTCCCTTAATCAATCGGATTTCTATTTCTAAATAAGAGCCTACGTCTCTGTCAATATATATGAGTAAACTCACTAACATGCGTTTCATATGTGATGTAATGTTTAACAAGCTTGTCTCGCTAAATCAATTACGAATGAATGGGTCAATTCGTTAGATCAATTACGAGTTCCCCATGTTTCCGATGTGTGCCACAATATAAGCTACGCTTAGAAAATCAACATTAGGGTACCTCGACATGCTGTAACGATTAGTAAGCTTGTCTGGGTATAACAATTACGACTGAGTAGTGAGTTCGAGTCTCACCGGGTGCCCCATACTTTCGGCCTTGTCCCACATGTAAAAGCTACGCTTAGAAAAAACAAAAGGGAACCACGATATTGTGTAGCAATTAGGACTGAGTAGTGAGTTTGATCCTCAATGGATGCCCCATATTTTCGTGCTTGCGCCACATCTGAGCTGCATTTAGAAAATCAGCATCTAAGTATGAATTTGGTGTATTTAAGCAGCAATTTTTCATTTATACAAATTTTCTCAAGTACCAACGAAAGTTCTTTGTTAAACTTTTTAAAAATTTATTTTTAGACTATTTTCATGGTTTCCGCTATATATTTCAATATAAATTATCATATGTCCGATTACTTTCTGCTTTCATTAGCCTTTATCAAAGACGTTTCGTTGTTTTTTGTACTAGGTCAGCTTCATCAGTTTTCAAATATCGTTTTTCCGCATGTGATGTTGGTTTTTTAACACGAGTCAGTGTTGTATTTATTACTATTACAGTTATGCCTTGAGATACGCGTTTAAATCGTTCCAACACTGATCTCGTAACTCAAAAGACTCGTATCTCAAATCAATTTTCCCCATTAAAATTAATGGGATATTTCCAATCCGTTCCACGCCCCTAAAAATCGCCCTTATTTTCCTGAAACTCACCCCTATTTTTGTATTTGTGGGTTTCTTACAAGCAAAACAGTGTTAATAAACAAAAAATGTAGTTTCCAAACAATAAACATTTTTTTAATCTTTTAATTTTATAACTTTTTATTTATCTTTGATATAGAACGCTGATATTGTCTTGCCAAATCCATTACGTCTTCTTCATGTTTCTTTTTTATAATTTCCCGCTTTACCTGAAGTGAAATCATACGTTTCGTCTTTTCACCAAGGAATTTTACAAAATAACTATAAAAAGACACAACACAACAAAGATCCTTCCAAGGCGAGGTGAACACGTGTACTGCGAGTGGAAATACTCTCCAACTAGCTGCGCCAACTAGCGGATGCTTAACTGAAATTCGCTCGTATCTCAAAATTCAGTTCGTATTTCAAGGCAAAAAATCGACTGAACTCCGGCTCATATCTCAAAAAACTCCTATGTCGATACGCTTGTATCTCAAGGCATTACTGTATTATTATTATTATTATTATTATTATTATTAAACAAAATGATTGACGCAATTCTTCCAATATTTTGTAACACTTACAGAAGATCGCGATTTAAGAAAAGAAAATGAAAAGAAAAACGGTGTTTAAAAATATTTCGACAGTATACGTGTCTTCTTCAAGTTATATTTAAAAATATATTATATTTAAAAATTACACGTATAAACAATATAAAAAATACAAGTCTTTGTACAATCGTAGCTTATCTTGAGGAAAAAGCTTTTACAAGTAATCAAAGAATGAAAGATCGGTGGATTTAGGATATTTAAATCTACAGCATTCACTGAAATATAGGAGGGCTGATATTACGTAACAGTTCAATACTCCTTTTTCGTTTCTAGCGATATTTTTCTTCTTTCTTAATAATTTCCTTAGCTTTTGGAAGGCATTTTTTCACAATTCACCTTCGGATTTCGGCTGAGGAGATTGTCCAGAATTCACTGCAAAGAAGACAAATATTACGTAACATTTCAGTTGGCATTACAGTTTAAAACCTCTCTGTATTATGAATCAAATCCTTTTACTTTATTATTTCTTCTTCCATGAGAATTCTTAAAAATAAACCTCTTTTATATATTTATTTCTGTTTAAACGCATAATTGCATATTACACTGTGTAACAAAATGCTAACTTTTTGCCTTTGGTCAGTAAGTGTTATTTCCTAATTGCTTCTGTCTAAAAAGCAAAAGAAATGAATATTATTCCCTATAAACTTGAAACTAACCTATTTTCTATTACATTTCAGTCAGATTAAGCGCTGAGTTACTGAAGGATAATTTTCTATAACTTTCTACAACTTTCAAGAACTTTCTAAAAGTTTCAAGAATTTCTAGAACGTTCTGGCAACATAGACGGCAGTCTTAATACAGGGAATGTAAACTCAACAGTTCAGTTTACTTCTAGCTATCCAAGCGCAGACAAGTCGTCGGTGATAGATGCATCTAGAGGTTGTAAGCATCCAGCAGACGCATTTTACTATGTCTGTGAGGAATTTATCAAGACAAGAACCAAAAATTTTTCTGTGGCAATATCTGCTAAAATGTGTGAGACCTAACAAGACATATTTCGGCATGCCTTTCGGAAATCAAGTCAAATCCTGAGTACCTCATTTTACCTGCGAAGTCTGCAAAAGAACTCTATAAGGTAAGATGGAAAGATTTGCTTGTTTGGATAGTGGAATTTTTAAGTGTAAAAGTTTTAGAATTTTTTTATTTAAATATTTTTTACTTTTATTTTTTTAAGCCAGTGTTATTGAAAAATATGCAGCAAATATATTTCAACAATCGTGCATTAGTGTCCAGAATATTCAAGATTCTGTATTTTGTGGCATTTGCTATGTTAATTGGGGCTCCAACGTCAGGTATTTAAAAACGCCATTTAAAATTTTGGATGTGCAAGTGGAGTAATGGTTAGAGCAAAGTTCGAATTTTAGTCGAGTTCGTTAAATTCACTTTCGCTTAAATACTCTCAAGAAAAGTATAAATCCATCTCTTCTCCACTTATGGATTAAATAGTAGGGCAGACTGGACACTCTAGTCGTGGTTGACTACCAGTATAGAAAAAGAACTCTGAATTCAAAAAATATATAGACCTGACGAGGTACAGACTTGAACTAACTACGGTCCGGTCAGCATCTTCTTCTTGTATGTGTTGTGTCCTTTCAATATGTGGAGATGATGGCTCTCCACAATTTCTTGCCCTTTGTTACTCAATAAGGTTTGCCCTTATGCTCTCTCTCCTTATCCCTGTTCTGCCAATGATTTACACAAGCTGTTTTATGTAGGCTATACGCTGTTTTCATCCGTCCCTCTTGCCTTCAAGATGGCCTATCAGTGTCAAAGTTGCTAAGTTCTCTTTCCTCAATACGTGACAGAGAAAATGGAACTGTCTCTTTCTGGTGCTTAGTATAAGTGTCTTTTTTGTTTCCATTTCGTCATTTGCTCACAGTCCGTGGTATTCTCAGCATCCTTGCACATTTCTGTTGTTTCAAGACTCTTCTTCATCTGTGAGGAAATTGAACAACATTCACAAGAGGACTGATATTACATAATAATTCAGTTTTTTTTAACGAAATTTTACCGTTTCATGATACTTTACTTTCTTTTGGAATATATTTAATATATCTTTACACTTCTTAGATATTTAAATTATTGTACTTGTTTGATTTTAGTATCTTCAATTTGTAATTCATGTGTTGGGCTGCTCCTTTTTCTGACAACCATATATTCTCTCTTCTTACGAACGATGTTTAGTCCTTTCTTCTCGCTTTCCTTTACTATCTTCTGTAGAAGTTCCTGCAGTTTCCTTTCTGTGACTTTTGAATATCTAATCTTGTTAATATTGTGGCCGCCAATAATCAATACTGGTGGGACTTCTCTCACGATTGCTTCACTGTAAAGATTGAATATGTCCGGTGAGAAGACACATCCTTGTCTTACGCTCCTTTCTATTTTTGCGTATTTACTGAATTCATTTTTGTCCGTATGCAGGCGGTTTGCTCCCAGTATGGATTCTGGATAATTCTAATATCCTCCCCAAATAAATCAAGTATTTCCAACAGTTATTTGTGACGTTCTTGATGGAACGCTTTTGAATAATCTATAACAGAGTTGCAGTATAAACTACAGATTGTGACCCTGGGTGTTGAAAAAACAAAAATGGGCCTGAATAGACGGGCATACACAGAAACGAGAAGCCATGCTAAAGATAAAAGATCACACTAATTTGCAGTCGAAACAGCTCTGATGATGATTTCAAATCTTGATTTACATGTATGTATGTCATATACATTCGGACTAATGCCCCCACCTTTATCACAACGTTCCGGCTGTTGTTCTCTCCGGCCTTTCTCAGGTGTCTATCGATAACATTCGAACTGAACTTTTTATTTAAGGCTAGCTTGTTCTCGTTTCGCTGTCCGTGTCAGATGTCTCATCCTGTTCTTATTTAGTTACTGCTCAGTTACTGCTCCTCAGACACAAACCTATATTCGCCTACAGCAAGATGTCGTTTTTTGTTTAACCAAGCAGACCTTTAGCAATTTCGAAATAGAGGAGACTACAGTTTTTATTTTTCTTAGCAGTGCATTTTTCCCTTAACACATCTGCATCATTTATATTTGTCTACAAACATTTGTGAGTGTGTGTGTTTTCAATTTGTATCATTAGATTGAAATTAATAATGTTAATAAAGCTTCAGACGAAGACATACGAATGAAAACAAGGCTTGCCACATGAGAGAAATTAGAAGTTCTACAACTATTGTATAACTAAGAGTCAATGAATGATTGATTATCAAAGAAATGTTACCAATGCCTAATTGTAATAAAGAACATTCGTGGGTCGTTTCATTGTGGCAGTAAGTTGGATTTTTCATCTTGAATGCCGTGAGAGTAAGACGGCTGTACGTTCAAAAATATGGCCTCGGTATATTGTTTGAGTAATATAAAGAGCGGAAATACAATATTGTCTTGAATGAGACAGTGACGGAGGGAGAGAGAGAGAGAGAGAAAGTGGAAGGGTGAGCCAGTGAAACTGGTGGAAAATGAGGAATAGGATGAGAAGAACGAAACGGGGAGTAGTAACAAGTAGGAATGAAGAAGCAAGCGTGTATATACATCATCATTTGAGATCAATACTTTGGCGCAGACATAGTCACATAAACGTATAAATCAATTGAAGAATATATCAATATTGATGCGTATAGAAATAGTTGCAAATAAATCTCTTGAGACAGAGACAGTTATTAAAATTATCTTAGTCTGACACAAGGCTAGAAAAAAGAATCAGTTGTTCGACTTTTCAAGGTTCGTGTCTACCTTGAAAATATTTAAAATATTGACATTTAACTAAACTTTGAATATATATATATATATATGTGTGTGTGTGTGTGTGTGTGTGTGTGTGTGTGTAAATTATTTTCAGATAGAGTGTATCAGTAACGGAAAAGATGAATAAAAACAGACAAGAGGAAAATAGATTTCTCTTGTATCTTTCATTTATGAAGGTAACATCAATCAGCTAAACGGTAAAATTTTACACACATTAATCTTATATATATATATATATATATATATATATATATATATATATATATATATATGATGCAAGAAGAAGAAAAAAAAGAAAGAAAACCGAAGCTACTCGTGTTTCACCCTCAAGTTGAAGGATTGTCAGGCCAGGTTCAATCTGTTTTACTTAGCTTGTGGTCCTGGACTTAAATATGGAGAACATGTTCTTTTTCTTCCGGAAGTGAATATCATGTGTTCCATATTCGATATTAAATATTTCTTTCGTAGGTAAACATCTTGTCATACTTTCAGATCTCTTAATTAATAGAGAACTTGAACCTGGCTATGGAAACATCAATATCGCCAAATTGTCCTGATATAATTTACAAAATTTATGTCCCCACTCAGTATAAATCTTACTCTTCCTTACTATACTCCATTCTATTTTTGATTGATAGTTCTTTCATCTTTTATTTTCCAAATGTATTTTAACAAAGCGGGGTTATATTTTCTAAATCTGAACGATGCTAATTGATGACTGTACCTTCCTTTAAACGCGTCCTCGGTCAAACCAATTACTTCATCTTATATATAATTGCCTGACGATCTCGAGAGCGTGAAACTTGAGTAACGACTCGAGCTGTCCTTCATTGAGTGTTAATATTGAGCACTTTAATTTCATGTGTAGGTAGGTGTTTGCCTTTTGGTCTTTCTCTTTTCTTTCCTTGTTCGGGATTATTTTCTTGTCTAAGGTATAAGGCTGTCTGGCAAGTTGTCTGTTAATCCCACCAGCATTGTTAGGATTTTTAGTAGTAATAGTAGTATATATATATATATATATGTGTGTGTGTGTGTGTGTGTGTGTGTGTGTGTGTGTAAAATATACTATTGGAGAAATTAATAAATCAATTTTAAAATGTATAGTTTTTTATGCATAGCTTTTATCTAGAATGCAGAATATGTATATTAAATAGTATTGGATAAATAATCAATAAAATATAATAATAAAAAATAAAAAACAAAAATGGTAAAATTGAATAATTATTTTCTCCCATCGTACTTAATATAGGAATTCAGCACTACAGCCTTAAGACAAAAAAAAGTAATGTCGGTCCAAGCAAGTTAAATATAAATCTGATTTAGCTTCATTATTCCCACGATCCAGAGGTGAAACTCGAGTCGCCAGTAAGCTACGTTGTTTTTATTGCATCATCCATTTAAACACACACACACACACACACATACACACACACACACACACACACATACACACACACACACACATCTAACATGTTTCGCTTTGTTGTGCCTTTTATTTTTATTGGTTAAGCAAACTTTTATGTTCATTTGTTTTGTCGATCAGCGTTAGTGTGTATTGCATGTATGTGTAAATTAAAATATTTCTTTCTTTTTATTTTTTCTATCTTTTTAAGCTTTGTGTTGATATAATTTGTTTTTGATACTTTCCATTCATGTTAAGCAACGTCGAGTATGGCCAGTACCAAGATGGATGACCGCTTAGGAATAACAGGTGCTGTAAGCTAAGGATGTAGTGTAATGAATAACAGCTTGGAATTGAAAATCGGAGAGCTGACTTCCAGTTCCAGTCGGGTTCGTTATATTCAATTTCGCGTGAATTCCCTTGGGAAATATATGAATCCATCTCTTCTCCCCCAGCTACAGGTTAATTTGTACAACTTGTATGAATAAATCATTATTATCTCAAAAAATTTTACAATCTAAAAGTATGTTCTGGCTTTAGTCTTAAAAAAACATTCAGTTCACCTCTTGGTTTATTTTGGTTATACAGGGTGTTTAAAATATTTTATATCATTTGAGATATATATCTGAGTAACTACTAAATATTAAGAACATTAACTAAAAACATGAAAGAAAGCAAACTACCAACTTTAAGTAAACATTACAAAATGAAGCATAGTTTGGGCGAATAAGTGCATGAAAACAAATGATATCTCAAAAGTATTTCTTAAAGACGAATGTAGAGCTACGTTAGATGCCTTTGGTGGCTGGGCTAGAGATTCGTTCATTCATGGAAATGTCAGGCAACGCAACTTGGAAGACAATACGGAGAAGGTGGACTAATGTTTTTCCTGAGTATTTCTGGCAGGAACATTATAGGTCAATTCAAAGTTATGCCAGTGTTTAAATAAATACAGAGGATTATTGTAAGTTTTTTAGACATAATATTTTTGTGTTGTACAAGTCACAGCCTAGAAGAATTCAGCTGATGCAAAACAATAATCCTGGTAACACCATCAAAAAAAGGTTTCAAAGACACCAAATTAATGGAATGACTCTCAGTCACTTCATATTTTAATCCCATAATAAAGAAATGTATAATACTTATAATGGCGGCAATCTCTCAGCATTTTACAGCTGAAATGGTTAGATGTGACCATAAGTTCTATGTCAACAGTTTCTTCTAATCGCACTTCTCGCTTGTGGAACTCTCTTCCCGTTTCTTGCTTCCAAGTCAACTTTGACATTCAAAATTTTAAATGCCAACTGTTACCTTCTGTCTTCTTAATTCTTGTTCTTTTATTGTCCTCTCTCCTTAATAGTATTTTTTTCATATTCTCTAACACCCAGTAAAACCTTTGCATGCTAGTGGCTTTATTGCCTTGCTTGGGGTGAAATGATTAAAAAAGGCGATTCTGCAAAAATGCTATGTCCGTGCATGACACAGTTGGTTATGGCTCTTCACAGATTACTTTTTTATCTTGAATTACCATGCTTTCTTTAAAAAAAAGATAGTGGTGTAGTTTCCACTTTCTTTCTCTGCAGTTTCAAATCCAGAGTTTTCAATCTCTTAGATTGGTTGCCACCCAAGGCCAGATGACACAGTTTACCTCATATTTAACCCATAGTTTGGGGAAAAGATGAATTCATGTTTTTCCACGGATATTAATGCGAAAGTGAATGCATCAGATTTTGCTGGCGGTCAACGCTGGCGACCCCAGCGGTTACTTCTCGGACCAACCCACTTTTTGATCTACAGAATTTATTTGCCTAAGAATACACTCAGATGATTTCTAAACATCTATGTCGATGATACAACACTTACTCCTCTAAAACTCTTGATGATAAGAGATTGGTAACTAATCTCTCATCCGATCTAGCACTAACATGTCTTGAAAAGACTGGCTGGTTATATTCAATGCCTCAAAAACCAAAGTAGTTACATTCCATCACCCCGAATTACCGCCAGTCATGACGAATGGTTTTCCCCTCGAGGAAGCTCTGTGCTTTGAGAGACTTTCGGGCCTTAAACCTGACCTCAAATGGAACTCATACATACAATCCATTGCTAAAGATGCAAGAAAAATGATCGTCTCCCTGTAATGCTCCAGTAAGTACCTGATTCCCCATGCTATCCTCGACCATTACAAGAACCAAATCAGGCCGAAAATGGTGTGTACGGTTGTCATATTTGGGCGGGAGCTGCCCAGTCCTCGATTTTCAGTCTCGACAGCGTTCAGAATTGTCTCCAACCCTCTCACTGCTCTATCGCTAATTCTATGGAAACTGCTTGAACGAACTACATTCCTTGGTTTCACCAGTTCTAACGTTCACAGCTAGAACCCGCCATGCCACTTACATTGTAGCAAACCACCCATATATCTTTCGTAACCCTCCTCAGGTTTTGAATTCAGAGTTGTTCTTCTCATAGACTGGTTGCAAACCAGGGCTGGACGGACCATCCTGCCCTGATATTTACGCATAGCCGATGGAGTCATATCTTTCCCAAGAGTATTTGCACGTAACGAACACGACTGGAATTCGAACTCGCCTCTTTGATTTCTCATCCCGAGCTGCTATCCATTACACAACCGTGAATCCACACACACACACACACACACACACACACACACACACACACACACACACACACACACACACACACACGCACAAATCAAAACCTACCCACATTTCTCACCCACACAAGACAGACATGCTTACGTAGGTGTTGAGGCCTCACACTTATACACACACCCACACGAATATACACACTTACACACATCATACTCACTCACGCCCAAATGAGCCAAATGATAACACACACCTACAGCAATACACACGCTTACACATATCATACTCACTCACTCCCTAAGAACCAAATAACACAGACACAAACACTTAACAGAGACACATCCCCTTTCCAGGAACCAATAAAACTGTCAAACTGACCAGGGGAATTCAGAGCAGCATGGATCCATCCAGCTCTTATCTCAAATAACAACTTAAAAGAGACTGTTTGACCAACACATGGAATGTTAAAAAAAATTCACGTTAAAAAGATTTTAAAAAATTAAAAAAAAAACAAATGAAAACTAGACAAAAGTTCATTTTCTCCATCAAGACATTCATTTCTGTAGTTCACTGCTACCAGCAAGCAGATTTTTTTCTCCTGGTGAAGGCCATGTTGGCCGAAACTAGTCGAGGAATCTAAATGAAATAATAATAAAAAAAACGAAAGAATATTAATCTACAACTCGGTGTGTCTGAAGATTTTAATTTTTTAATATTTTTTTATTGTTCAATATATATATATATATATATATATATATATATATATATATATATATATATA